GTCCGCCATCATGAACTTCCTCGGCGTCACCTTCATTGCCGGCATGATTGGCATCGTCTACCATATGACGGGCTTCATCGCCACCGAGCGCGAGTCGGGCATGTCCACCCTGCTCGACGCCATGATGGTCGTCAAGCACCGCTGGCAGGCCCAGGCCTCGCGTCTCTGGTCCTACCACGTCGCCTTCTCTGTGCTCTACCTGCCCGGCTGGGTCATCGGCTCGCTGATATTGTGGCGCGGCGTCTTTGCCCACACCAGCTTTCTTGTCGTGCTGCTCTACCACATCCTGGCCGGCCTTGCTCTCGCCTCCATGTCCATCTTCGGCGCTTCCTTTTTCAAGAAGTCGCAGCTGAGCGGCGTGTCCATCACCATCATCTATCTGATCCTGGCCATTCTGGCCCAGAGCCTCACCGCCCCCAGGACCGGTGCCGTCGCCATCCTCAGCTTGCTGTTCGCCCCTTGCAACTACACCTTCTTCATCTCGCTGCTGGCCCGCTGGGAGCAGAAGCAGTTGCCCACCAACCTGACCAAGACGCCTCCCGATAGCCCGTGGAACCTCTCTGGCATTGCTCTCTGGGTGTTCCTGATCATCCAGATCATCGTTTACCCCGTACTCGGCGCCTTGCTTGAGAGGTACTTCCACGGCACCACGTCGTCGACCCGCAATATTGTTGTCGGCGACAACCGTGGCGGCCTTGAGCCCGAAACCGCCGTCCAGCTCGACGAGTTTACCAAGATCTACAAGCCTAGCATCTTCCGTCGCATGTTTTCCTTCGTCGTAAAGCCAAAGGAGCCAGTGATCGCCGTAAACAAGCTTACTTTGAGGGCCGGCCGCGGCCAGATCCTGGCCCTGCTCGGTGCCAACGGGAGCGGCAAGAGCACCACGCTCGACTCCATCGCCGGCATCAACAAGCTCACCAGCGGCAACATCACCATCGACGGCACCGGCGGTCTGGGCATCGCCCCGCAAAAGAACGTCTTCTGGGACGAGCTAACCGTCGAAGAGCATGTTCTCATCTTCAACAGACTGAAGACGCCGCGCAACCGGGCCACCAAGCAGCAGATCCGCGAGCTGATCGTGTCCATTGACCTCGAGCAGAAGATCAAGGCACAGTCCAAGACACTCTCGGGCGGCCAGAAGCGGAAGCTGCAGCTGGGAATGATGCTGACGGGTGGTAGCGCCGTCTGCTGCGTCGACGAGGTATCGAGCGGTCTGGACCCCCTGAGCCGCAGGAAGATCTGGGACATTCTTCTGGCTGAGCGCGGCCGGCGCACCATCATCATGACGACGCATTTCCTCGACGAGGCCGACCTGCTTGCAGACCACATCGCCATCATGTCCAAAGGCAACCTCCGCGCCGAGGGCACATCGGTCGAGCTCAAAAACACGCTCGGCGGAGGCTACCGGATCCACGTCAACAACGTCGAGGACTTCAAGAGCCTTCCCGATGTCGAAGGCGTTACGAAACGCGTCACATTCGAGGAGGCCGTCTACGTCGCGTCGTCGTCCAGTCTCGCCGCAAAGGTCATCAAGGATCTCGAGACTGCTGGCATCACCGACTACCGCTTTTCTGGGCCGACCATCGAAGACGTCTTCTTGCAGCTCGCCGACGAGATCCAGGCTGAGGGCGGATTTGGCTCCGGACTCGACGAAAAACAAGCACCGTATAAAAAGGAGACGAGCAGCGACGAGGGAGGGGCCGGAAATGCAGGATTCGAGCTCTTGTCGGGACGCCGGATTGGGTACCTGCGCCAGACGTGGGTTTTGTTTCTGAAGCGCTGCACCATCTTCAAGCACAACTTTTTCCCGCCTGTGGCCGCTTTCGCCATCCCCGTCCTCGCGGCCGGCTTGGTCACGCTATACGTCAGGGGACAGGGGGCGGTGGGATGCGACCCGGCTGCGCAGGTCACTCGGAATATCCCGACCAACATCTTTGCCCCCGACTTCAGCATTGGTGGGCTACAGCTCTCTCTCGTCGGTGGGCCAAGTGACAAGTTCACCCAAGAGACGCTAATCCAGCTCTTCCTACCCATATATGCCCACTCGGGAGGCGGGTCAGGCAGCGGCGCAGTCACTTCCACAGTTAACACCCGGGCCGCCAGCCCCATCGACTTCTTGCAGAACGTGACGATAGTGGACTCGCTGACCGAATTCAACAACTATGTCGCCCAGCAACGTAAGAACATTGTACCCGCTGGCATCTGGCTTGGTGACGCCAACTCGCGACCAACGCTAGCCTTCAAGGCAAACGGCGCCGAAATGTTCAGCGCCTGGTTCGGCCAGTACGCCATGAACATGCTGTTGACCAACACGAGCTTCGCATCCTCGTACGTGACTTTTGACTCGCCTTTCTCGCCCGACACGGGTAAGGCGCTCCAGATGCTCGTCTATGTCGTGCTGGCCCTGTGTGCCTACCCGGCCTTTTTCTCGCTGTATCCCAACCTAGAGCGCCGACGACAAGTGCGTGGCCTCCAGTATTCCAACGGCGTGCGACCACTGCCGCTCTGGCTCGCCTATCTGGCCTTTGACTTTGCCATCGCCGTGACCGCGAGCATTCTCATGATTGCGCTGTTCGTCGGCTTGGCCCCCAACGTGTGGTACAATGTTGGCTATGTTTTCCTCGTCCTGGTGCTGTATGGCCTGGCCTCGACACTGCTGTCCTACAACGTCTCGCTGTTCAGCAACAACCAGCTCTCGTCCTACGCTTTCACGGCGGGTGGCCAGGTCGTTCTCTTCCTCATCTATCTCATAGCTTACCTGAGCACCATGACGTACGCGCCAATCTCCAAGATCGACAGCTACTTGCTCATAGTCCACTTTGTCATAGCAGCCTTTGCGCCCATCGGATCCGCCGCCCGCACCATGTTTCTGGCTTTGAATCTGTTTTCGACGGCCTGTGAAGGCGAGCAGCTGGCCCCCAACCCAGGTGGAATCTTACAGTACGGCGGGCCGGTCTTGTACTTGATCCTTCAGTCCATCTTCTTGTTCGCTCTTCTCATTTGGTTCGACGGCGGCAACGTTGGCGAATCCATCAAGGGCTTCTTCTCGCGGACCAAGCCGCCCAATCGGGTTGATGATGACGGCGTATCGGAGGACGAGGAGGTGGCCACCGAGATGGCGCGGGTGAAGACCAACACTAGCGGGGCCGACGGGCGCAGCGCCGACGGCCTGCGCGTCGTTAACCTGACCAAGAGCTTCGGGTCCAACACGGCTGTCGACAATGTCACGTTTGGCATCCAGCACGGCGAGGTATTTGCGCTTCTGGGCCCCAACGGCGCTGGCAAGTCGACTACCATCAGCGTCGTACGCGGCGACATCAAGCCGACAGGAGGCGTCTCCCGCGGCGGCGACGTGTTCGTCGAGGACGTCAGCGTGACGCGCCACCTGGCGCAGGCCCGCTCTCACCTCGGCGTCTGCCCCCAGTTCGACGCCATCGATTCCATGACCGTGACGGAACACTTGCGCTTCTACGCGCGCGTGCGCGGCATCTCGGACATTGAGCACAACGTGGCCGCCGTGCTCGCCGGCGTCGGCCTCAGCGCTTTCCGCGACCGCCAGGCTCACGACCTCAGCGGCGGCAACAAGCGCAAGCTCTCGCTCGGCATCGCCCTCATGGGCAACCCGACGGTGCTGCTCCTCGACGAGCCCAGCAGCGGTCTCGACGCCGCCGCCAAGCGCGTCATGTGGCGCACCCTCGCGGCGACCGTCCCCGGCCGCAGCATCCTGCTGACCACGCACAGTATGGAGGAAGCCGACGCCCTCGCCGGCCGTGCTGGGATCCTCGCCAAGCGCATGCTCGCCATGGGCTCGATAGAGCGCCTCCGATCCCGCTTTGGCGAGGCCCTCCACGTCCATCTAGTCTGCCGCGGCGCCCCACGAACCACGCCCGAGCACGTCCAGCGCGTCCGTGAATGGGTCCTCGCCACGTTCCCCGGTGCCGCCGTCGACGATAACACGTACCACGGGCAGATGCGGTTCAGCATCCCCATTGCCGCTGCTGCCGCTGCCACCGCCGCCACCGCCACCGCAAAATCACCATCAAGTGAAAGAGGCAACGATAACCAAAACGACGACTACAGCATCTCGCCCAGCGTCGCTACTGCCACTGTCACTGCCGGCGGCAGCGACGGTAGCGCCATCGGCAAGCTCGTCGTGCTTCTCGAGGAGAACAGAGACGCCGTCGGCATCGAGCACTACAGCGTCAGCCCCACGACACTCGACCAGGTCTTTTTGACCGTCGTCGGCCGGCACAACGTGCGCGAGGAGGGCTACGAGCAGCAGCTGTTGCAGCAGCAGCAGAAGAAGCCGTGGTGGAAGTTTGGGCGCAGGTAGCCGGTCGACTGCATGCATGCACTTTCCTTGTTTTTCCTATTTCTTTTCTAATTTATTTTTTTGTTGGATCGGTCTTACTCTTCCTTTGGTTCATGCATGTCATGTCATACCAGGGAGCAAAGGGGAAGAGATAGGATAACGTATGCAAAAGATGACGCATACTATTTCTTTGTTAAATATTTCAAACCATTTTTCTTGGACGGTATGTATAATGTGTGGATGTGGAGCGGGCTGGGGCGAAAGACGTAGAGAGAGGAGCGATACAAGGCCACACCGTGCGGTGAAAGGCGGAGGAAGCATCTAGACCTAGACGTGGACGAAGGCAGGTAGATGATGGGATGGGTCTAGATGAGATGGGCAAAATGCAAAATTTAATGTGCAACCTGCTGCGGTTCGGGTTCGTTGTCCGTGGTTCGTGAAGAGAAATTAGTCCTTATTAAATACTTCGTACCGAGTAAAGATGAGGAGGGAAAACCGCGAGAGGGAACGTCATCGCAAGCATCAAACGTCATGATCCCAGAGCCGACCGAATCTCCAAACACCCCATTAGAAATTATACGATAAAATTAGATTTGGATAAGAAAAACAAAGCAGAAGCACGTCTTTCGTATACCATCGACGTAATGTTATGAAAATAGAAAAAAAATAAAAAAAAAATTAAACACATCGTCACCTGCAGGATTCGAACCTGCGCCCCCGAAGGGATTGCCTAACATGCTAGTATTAGCAGGGCAACGTATTAGGCCACTCTACCAAAGTGACCATACGAGATGCGATTGATGACTAGAGTGCGGGGTAGCCGTGCCTATATGCGATACCCCACGCCCCCGCCCTATCCGTCCAAGGGCTTGTGGGAAGTCGCTGTCCAACCTTCCTTTTGACTGGCCCAAGACCTGGAAGCCCATGAATGAACGAACTGTCGTTACTTTTTAGTGCGCACGGCAATGCATCTAGAGTAGATGGCGTCACAAACCGGGAAATTTTTTCAGAGATGCACACCCTGTGTGCTGTACCTATGAACAACTTAGCAATCTTCCAGGTAGTTGCCATCATCAATCCTGTTAGGAACCCTTTCATAAGGGGACGACTTCGACCCAAGCATGGAAGCAGTCAGCACCAGAATATTCCCACATGACGAACCAGCAAAGAGTTAGAGTGGGTAAGGATATGCATTTGCTTCTCGGAGTAGTGCTAGTCTGCAAGCCATACGATTTGCTATAGCTGCCGTTGCTGATGAAAAACGAATGCATCGCACACACATCGTATGCATATTCTGCGTCTCTGAATAAAGATAATGCTGCCCTTTCCTGGCCCTGCCTCCCAACCCAATTCGCTATTCCATGTCCATGCCGGTGCCAATACAAGAAAAGATACACTTCTACTACTACTAATAATAAAACATTCCATCCACCACCCCGTCTTTCTCGCATCTGTTGGAATGATGCGATACGAGCTGATTATTAGCAAAACCCAAGCGCTTGGCGGAGGGTTCTTCTGGTTAGAAGGTCCATGTGTTGAAAAGCGCCGACGGATCCGTAAATAAATAAAATAAAATAAAAGAGAAGAAGCCCGCCCGTGAGATAAGGAAACTGAAGCAAAAAGATGTCTCGAAAGAATATTAATAGACCCATTTCGCATCATATGGGTCTATACGAGAAAAAAAAGATGAAATCCCGAAAATGATAAAAGCAAACACCAGCGTGAAAAAAAACTCAAGCCATACTATCCTCTTGGCCCATTCAGTGCAAGCACGCAGACCTCAATATTCGGCCCCGACCCAGTCGAGGAGCGCGCACATAGCCTCGACGACGTACATGGCGCCGTGCGAGACGAGGGTGAGGAACGACCACAAGAGGAGCAGGAGAGACTCGATGACAAGGAGAGCAAGCCAGGCGGCGGCAAAGGCGGCGCGGACGCCGAGCCAGCTCACGCGGCGCAGGGCGCGCAGGAGCACGGATCGATATTTCCCGTCGGCCATGAAGAGCGCGGCGGTGCGGACGTCCGTCTCGTGGCCCCTGGCAACGAAGGCGGCGGTAGAAGAGGCAGCGGCGGTAGATAGTCAATGCCCGCCGTGCATGGTGAGCAGGCGCCGGTTCTTCTTAATAAACTGCGCGAGCTGCTTGTCCAGCTTTTCCGTCTCCCTGCGCGCCAACGTGAGCGCTTGCTCTGCATCCTCGAGGCTCATGAGCGGCACGTTGCCAAAAGGCCCCGTCGCGCCCGGGTTGAGACCGGGCTTGGCGCTGACAGAAGCGGCAGAGGCCAGCAGCTCGTCGGCCGTCGCCGGCGGCGGTGGCGAGTTGAGAATGTTGCCCGTCGAGATCTCGAGGTACGGGGCGAGGCCCGGATGATGATGATGCTGGTGTCCGTCGGAAAAAGCGCCGACGGGACCGGGGTAGCTGAGCTCAGGCGCTGCTGCGTCGCCGTCGTGGGCCGGAGAACCACTGCCGTACATCCAGGGCGCGAGCGAGCCGAGGTTCGCTGCAGCGGCCGAGGCAGCTGTGCTTCGGGCGTCCGGATTCCACGAAGACATTGCCTTGGGAAAGCTCATGTCTCTGGCATTAAGATTCAGCCGCGGCAACACATACTGGTTAATGTAGTATATCGCTTCTTCCCGCTGTATCTTGTTCATCGGGTCCGAACGGTATGCGCCTGGAGCCGATGGAAAGTAGCTGGGCGGCCCGTTAGGCACAGCACGGCCCTTGAGCAAACTGAATCCGCCGCCGGCCTCCTGCCGGGATGATACAAACGCGGCCGGACTGGCTGCTGCTTCGGCGATGCGCTTCTGAAGCTCCAGAAAGCGGTCTTCTTCCTCAACGGTGAGATTCCGAACGCAGTCGCCATTTGGCGTGAGCAACACTCGAGCGCCGTCCACAATCTTCCGGACCGGCTTGCCAGCAAGAAGACTAGTTTGGTCCTCATCTGTGACCATTGACTTGGTTGGAGTTATGCTACTGCCTGCCAAGATGTCTCTCGCCCCAGCACTGCCGACATCGCTCCTTGACTTGTCGCCTTGGCCGGTAGGAGGTTTGAAGAAAGGTAGGTCGTCGACATTGGCGGGGGCAAGACCAGCCTTTTGGAGATCTTCAAGTACCGCGGCAGGCGTAGGAAGCGACAGTGACGCCGAACCAGACGAGGATGGGTTGGAAGACCTATCTAGCTTTGATCCCTCGGCATTCTTAACCTTCAGGTCGCTAGCCTTCTTGGGGAGGCTCTCTTCGGTTAACATGGTGGTCTCGTTTGCCGTGGATCGGTACGTAGAAGACTCTTCTTTAACTTCCTTCACCTCCTTGACAGGTGCCGCTGGCGGAGGCTGCGGTAGGGGCGTCTCTGGGCGACTTGCCGTTGGCGTGGCGTTCAGGCTGCTGGGCTTCTCCTTCTCCTTCTTCTGCTTCTTTTTCCGGCCGATGATGGGCGCAATTTCCACCTCGGGCTCCAGCTTGGCGGGCTGGGTCACAACTGTCGATGTGTCTTTCTTGGAAGCCTCTTTGCGCTGCTTGCGCTGTTGGCTCTTAGTTGTGGTTCGCACCGGAGCAGACCCAACCTTGGTCGGAGGGGGCGAGTTTGTCCGCGACACCGACATGGATGCCGAGAAAATGGAGGCACTATCTGAGATCAATTCGCTAACAGGAGTCTCAGGTCGCATGGCCGTAGTGGCGGCAGATCGCACAGAGGGAGCAGCCGAGAGCGGGGCACCGCCGGCCGATGGTGTCGGTGGCACCTCCGTTTTAGGTGTGGGCACTAGCCTCAAGGTCTTGGGCGCCACGCGAGCAAGAGGCGACGAAACGGATGCGGTTGAGGGCGTGGGAAGAGCGGGAAAGGCCGAATCCCTGTCGACGCCGGATTTCTCCGTTGTCGCTGATGCTTCTATACTCCTCACCTGAGCTGCTTTGGTAGCTGCCGCGATATTCAAAATGCCTGGGACTGGCTTTTTGTCTGTACTGCGCTGCTCTGCCTTTGGGCTAGTTATGTTTTTCGTAGGTGGCGCAACTGGCTTTTCTTCCTCGGGGCCCTTATCGGGAACCTTCTCGGACGGCTTCTTACTTCCCACTGCGTTTGACTTGGCCGACATTGCTTTCGGGAGAACGGGCATGGTAGCAGATTGAGTGAGCTTCGGCGTGTTGAGGGCAGGAAAGTCTTCCTCTTGTAATACAGCTTGCGATTTAGCCTTTGCAATATCTTTGGATAGTCCACTTTCGACCGCGAGGGCTTTAATGTTTTTCTTTGCGTCAGGCGCTGGCGGCACGATGGCTCTCTTTCCAGCCAAAGTACTGGAAATAGCCGCGGATGCTTTCACCGGCAGGATAGGAAGCGCCACAGGAGATGCCTGAGGACCAACAGACGCGGCTCCAATTAGCGAAGATTGAGGAACCGTCGACGGAAGATTTCCGTGGGGTAGACCTATCCCAGGAGGAACCGACGGAGTGGCAGAGCGAGACGAGTCAAAGGCGCCAGGTGGTTGGCGTATGCTGGCATCGATGGGCTCGTCCGAGACGAGCGCGTCGACACTGGTTGTTGCCGCCTCAAACGAAAGCAGGTCGTCATCTACGTTATCCGTTAGTCCCCCAAGCAGCGAAAGTAAAAGGGCGTGTCATGAGGTGATGGGAAACGAGGTTGGGGGTGTGCCTTCGAACGCCAGGTCAGGATAGAGACCACTTGGGAGGAAGAGAAGCCAGCCGAGAAACAATCAACGCCGTTATATACAAGAAGGTTCGGGTCACGTCAGAGTCTACCATCATCGTCTTCCACAAGATGGGAAATAAACCGTCTTAGACAGCGTAAAATGCTATATTTGAGACACGGAAGCCCCCCAACCCAGACGGTAAAGAAACTGGGGCCGACGTTAACGTACATGAAGAGAAACCTGAAAGGAAGACGATGAGAGCTTGCCTGACGTGACCGATACCCCAATGATGCAAGGTCCCTAAGACGTGCCAGGTAAATAGAAGCGAGGTTGCAAGAACGGCTGGCCCCTCGAGCGTTTCTGGCCCACGCCCCTCTCACGTTCTTTTCAAAAAGCAAACGACGCCAATGCAAGGCGGCTCCCCCATTGGAAGCGACTCTTGTGATGCCCATAGATCAATGCGCAAAGCCCATATTGCCTCATGAACTTCCGATCCCGTTCGTGTCACAGACACTGACGTGGTATATACCGTGACAGTAAAGCGACACACGCGCCCCAAGAAAAGAAAAGAAAAGAGAAAAATAAAATAAAACAGGCAATAAGGGGAAATGGGAAATCCATGTGATGGAGGGTATTGTGTGTTGGGTGTGTGTTCAAGGCATTCCCCATCCTCGTTGGTAGGGTCCGACATTGTTGTTGTACATCATGCCAGGATTGCTGTACCCACCTTGCGACTGGCCACCGAACAGACCCTGTCCGAGTCCGGCACCGCTCTGAGCCTGAGCCTGTGCCTGCAGATGTTGTTGCTGCTGAGACTGCAGTCTCACCTGCAAGATGCTCGGGTCCGCAAGATCAACTAGGACACTCCCCCCGGCGGAGGAAGTGTTAGCGTGTCTGTGCTTCTTCCCCTTCTTCTTCTGCTTTGAGCCAAAGTCTTGCAAGGCTCCAGGCTGTGGCCCGTAGAGCGATGCCGAGTGGCTCGAGGCAGGAGCAGGGGTGGAGGAGGTAGAGGGTGGGTACTGGTGAGAAAACGAAGGAAACATGTACTCACGCTTGCCCGCATCGTGGACCTGGTTGCCGGCACTCCGCCCCCGGTTGAGGAGATGAAGAATCTCGTTGGAATCCTTGGACGCGGTCCCAA